TAAAATATCAATGAAATATAAGCAATAAAAAATGAAATGAAAAAACAATAAAATTAATAAAATAAAATTGTCAAGATGAATGATGAAAATGAGCAAATAATTAAAATTGAAAACTTAAAAAAATAAAAATATTTCAAACTCTACGTTCTGACTTCCATTGTCTAATATAATTCAAGATTTATGAAAGAACAAATAAAATTATAATGAATAGCTAAAATATCAATGAAATATAAGCAATAAAAAATGAAATGAAAAAACAATAAAATTAATAAAATAAAATTGTCAAGATGAATGATGAAAATGAGCAAATAATTAAAATTGAAAACTTAAAAAAATAAAAATATTTCAAACTCTACGTTCTGACTTCCATTGTCTAATATAATTCAAGATTTATGAAAGAACAAATAAAATTATAATGAATAGTTAAAATATCAATGAAATATAAGCAATAAAAAATGAAATGAAAATACAATAAAATTAATAAAACAAAATAATCAAGATAAAAGATGAAAATGGTTTAAATTGTTTTAATTTTTGAATTTTTTTTGCTCACTTTCATCTTGATCATTTTATTCGTTTTATTGTATTATCATTTCACGTTTCATTGCTTATTTATTCTCTCATAGATTTTGAATCATTTCAAAATCATATTATAAAATGGAAGTCCGAACTATTTAAGGTTTCATAATACAGAATAAGTATTTATATCTGTGCCAAGGGCTCTATAAATAATGCACTTTTTGATGAATCTCTGCGCCTATCTCTGCCGTTTTGATCCCGAAGACAGCCTCTGCCTATCGAACAAACTAATTCTTCACTTCCACTTCATTTCTTTCACTCCATTTCTGCCATTTCTTGTAAAAATCATTATATTAGTTTTCTACTTTCCCAAACTTTATTTAGTTGTAGTAAATGAGAATAAAATAAACATAAATACACATGTATATATTATAGTGGTACCTTGCCTGTTGAAATGTAAAATTTTCCGTTGAACCGAAGGACTTGCTGAAAAAATATTGCTTGCTTGGGTTTCGAACTCTTGAAGTACAGTGCCACTGATACGGTTCAATTTTTTTTTTTGATATTTTCAGCTCAGATCTCGATTCGAAGACGGTGAAGACTAGAAAAATAATTTATTTGACTGACATGACAGTACTCAGAATTCCAATATATTTACTCCAAGTTCCGTCAGTATATACGCTATATTCACGCTTGATTCAGACATCATTGTTCAACGAAAATACAGCCTTTTGGATTATTTCTTACATAACGATTTGAAAAATTCACAACTTTTGATGGATTTGTGTCGGGTCTCGCTTTGAAATTCTGTGTTGAGTCTAATCAACAAGTTCAAAAACATGAAAAATAGAGATAAAGGCCCTAAAAATAAGAGCGATAGCTCATTCGATTCGGAATCACCTCTAGAAAAATTTTTTTGGAGATAATAAATGCCAAATTGAATTGAATTAAAATTTAATTCAGTAATTTTTATTTGCTTCTANCAAAAGATGGTTAAAATTGAGCCAGAAAGTAAAAATACAATAAATACCAAATTAAATTTTATTAAAATTCAATTCAATATTTTTATTTGCTTCTAGTTTTTTTTGAAAGATTCCTATTATTTCAATAGATTAACTATCTAAATTGAGTCAGAAAGTAAAAATATAATAAACACCAAATTAAATGAATCTCTGTATTTCCAAAGTCTTCATCCTTCCAAGTTTTTGAACAAATTGAGGCCCTAACAATCTGCAGCTACAAAATCCGACTTCAGCTATATTATATCTTCCGATGAAGTCTGTTGATGTAAGGTTCTTTGTTGTCGGTCATGAATGTTGAATTGTTGTCAGTTGGTGACCCTGGAACAAAGAAAAGGAATGACACCATAATATGGAGTGTATTCGTGTATTATTGATTTTTTTGGTAGTGAAATTTTATAGTCCAATACAATTTTGAAGGTAGCACAATCCTTATAGCAACAGACTCGGAGCTAAGACCAGTCTATGATATGAGACAGTTTTTTTGGCTGTTCAAGGCTGAGCCGTTGGCAACATGAATGAACAAAGTAGTTTTGTTTTGCAATTTATGAAATGCAAACACACTGTATCATTTGTGATATTTTGATTTCTATTGATTTTATGTAATCTGTAATTTTGATGTATTTTTCTATTTTGATTTTATAATGGATGATTTTTTTGTGTCAATATACCCTTTTGTTTTATTACTACTCCAGAATGTATTATTTCTTGACCTTCCTTTTCCCAAAAAACGCATGGAGTAATTTCAGCTTTTGTTAGTTGATGACAAATAGTGTATTATATCAGTATTTTTTGTTGGGTTTGAGAGATACTGATGTAACATACAGGGCGTAACATAAGTACATTCAAATATTCAAGTGACGTATTCCTGAGACAGTTTTGAAAAAAAAAGTCTACAGGAACTTGTGTCCGAAAATGATTCGTTTCCGAGATACGGGGTGTTGAAATTGAATGTTTTTGTTCGCTTTTTGAAAATAACTCTGCCAAAAAATAAGTCGTTTGCACGAAATTCCGTACCCGGGTTTTTTTGACGTCGGAAATCATAATTTCGTATTGATTTTCATTGTAATATCTAGAGGGCGCTGCGCACGCTGTCATTATTTATTTCAAATAGCCCTAACTTCTTTGACAGTAAACTTTTGGTACTTTTCATGAAAAAACCTAATTCCCACACCTTTTCCACGTAAAAAAGGTACAACTGAATTTCACTGGTTCGGACTTCCATTGTCTACTATTTAAAATGATTTGAAATCCCTGAAACAACTAAAAAAAAAGAAAAATTAAAAATGAATAGCTGACAATAACAATTATATTAAGCAAACTAACCTGAAATGAAATAATAGTGAAATAAAATACAAGTAAAAGAACAATTGAATGAATAAAAATAAAGAAATGAAAAAAGAAAATAATAAAAAGTGGAGAGATTCCAAGTCACGTTAGTTCACGACGTTTCGACTGTTGGTATCTACAATCGTCTTCGGGTGATGACTAGACTGATTCCTCCGAGAGATGACTATTTATAGGTCGTTGAAATACTTTCACTTTCTCTGCTTTCCATTTTCCGCTTCACTGATTCCGTGAGAGATGACCGTTTTGGCGGGAGTTGGCCATTTTTCGTTTGATNTGAAATATTTCATTTGTTGAAAACTCAATATACATATATATAATATAATGATACTATATCTTGAAAACAAGAGCTAATATATAATTTTTATGGTCACTTTCGGTTTTAACACGTGGAAATACATTAAAATCATCTAATTTCAACCCCGAAACAAAAACTTTGTTGTGTTGTATAATTGGAATTCCCTCTTCTCTCGAAACGAGAGTTTATTGCCGAAAAACAGATGCATATTTAGAACGAAACCATGTTGTTTTGTTGTTTTTTATTATTTGTAAACGCTGTGTCCGCCTGAATAATAATTCATCTATCCCCAGTCCCGACAGACTTTATTCTTTCTCATCATTCTACTACTATTGCCGCAATGAGCGTGTCAACGTCTCAATTTGAGTTGAATTATAACGGTGACGATTTTTACATACACAGGGCTGTCCTTCTCTGTAACTGTTACTCACCTGACTTGACCTGACTTGAAACTGTAACACGAAAACTTGGTTCCTTGTAATTTGACATCCTGTATCTTCAACTTGACCCTCTGCAATTCTAACACTGTAACTGTAACTTGGCCCCCTGTGAATGTAACTCAATCCCCACTAATGATAATTCTGTAACTGTAACAGTTTGTACACTACAATGGTGCTAACAAAGATATGTATAAAGTGATATAACGAAGAGTGGCCACTCCCTGTAACTGTTACTCAATTGATTCACTTGTGACTGTAACTAGCTCTCCTTTGAATGTACTTCAACCTCCTGTGGTGTTTTCAGGGGTGGTATTATCGGCCCTTTCACATCTCAGAGGTATTTAGAAATGTTAAGGCAAAATAGTGAACCCCTTGTTGATGAATTGCTTCTAACAGAGCTCAGAAAAATATATTTTCAACAAGACGGTGCTTCGCTTGGCTGGCTAGGCCACCGGATC